ATTTTCTTGTGTTTTACTGGCTACTAAGAAAAACAGTAAACATTTTGTAGTAATTCATATAGACCAATATGACTGAGATTTCTCAAGATCTATTTTTTTATGGATTCTTGGGGGGCATATTTTGTGCTAAATAAAGACTAACGAGACCTACAATATAATGGCAGTTGCAGTTCCCTTTGCATAGAATAGATTTCTTAATCTTCCCCAACGTGAATAAATTCCTCAATGCTAAAACAACAAATATAAATTGAATGCAATTGTAAAAATCTGTATTCACATAAAAAGTAGAAGGAATTTGGGGAATGTACTTTTCTGGAGCACTGGAGTCTGTTTGATTAGCCTTTATCATTGTCAGAATGTTTCTATACCTTCATGAATCAATATGTATTCACTCTTGTGTCCAGTTTGCATTTTCAAAGTAAGTATTTCACCCCCATAATTACATAATCTGCAGAGTATTATGGACATTGTTGACTGTGGGATCAGGTTTTCTTTCAATGTTTTACCATCTAATTTTCCTGTATGGTTGGTTGATATTAACACAATTTAATACTTTTTTGTTTATCTGAAATATAAATGGTGACACTGGCTAATGCAAATATTTTTAATGCTCAAAGAATGTGCTACTCCTAGGACAGAAAGATTGTCCATGAAAAGATGTTATTGAATAAAAGAGTCAGGTTCGCCATTATGGTCGCATTCAAAATGTAAAGTAGCTCATTATAGAATAGATTATGGATTCGGGAAAGCATCCATAAATCTCTCTCTGCCCTATGAATTACATTGTTTCATTTCAAATGCACTTAACTAGTGACCCCCACAACTTTCACCTCTAGGTGAAATTTAAATGCAGCCCTGGAAGTTGTTACTGTCTGGTTACTGCCCAGCAGCCTTTGTGAAATGTGTCCACTTTCTTCTAGAATTGTTTGGAGCATGTCAGAAAGCAACCGCTGTAATCATCACTAATTAGCATTTTGTTAGCAGTCTAAGAGCTAAATGGGCAGAGAGCATGAACCATCCTCTCTTGTCTGCTGAATGAGGCCTGATAAATGAGTGTGACAGTGTAGGGGAGTTTGCCTGACTACTATTTGTTGCAAACTTCTTCAGTCTGTCAGTAGAAAGCTTCTGTCTCCTTAGCTGTAGAGCTAATGCCCTTGTGGCCATTGAGCTCACTGAAAAGACCTCCAGGCCTTAACCTTACAGTATTATTTTGTTTTTAGAACTTCAGGAGGTTGGGCCCAATTTTATCCTAATTGAAATCAGTGGGAGTTTTCTCAGTTAGCTGAATGGGTTCAAGTTTTGGCCATTTTTATTGTACTAATGGGTCATTTTCTTTTCTCTTAAAGGATCCCCTGCATGGCAGACAGTACAGCAGGAAGAGCACCATGAGTCAGCCAGTCTTTCTGTGTGGTACCTTGTCTGTGACACTATGTTTGAGGTTTGACTGAATAGATGTAGGTTGGCATTTTCAGAGGAACCCAAAGAGTTAATGCATCCAAATCTCATTGAAATTCAATGGAAGTTGGGTGCTGTTTAGGGATGAGCCCGTTTGAAGATCCCAGCTGCAGTGAATAGATATCAATTTTCAAAGACACTAAGTGGAAGTTATTTCTCAAAGTCTCAAGCCTTAAATATTCTTTTGCAGTCAAGGTCTTCTATATGAAGATGACAGTCTCATGGTGCTTTTGGTGTTCCTTTCAGTGTTCACAAGCAGGTTTCCTCGTGGGGCCTGTAGGAAAGAAAAATGCCATACTACTTAGGTACAAAGTCCTAGAGATGCCTTTGAAAAGAAAACAAGGGAGCAAGACAGAAATAGACTCTATTTCATTACTCACATCAATGCTTGGCCTCTTTACTCAGATTATAGGCATAGGTAACTCATTTGAAAGGGGATTTAATAGTGTGAAACCACTCCCAGTAAGAATGAGACCACATTACACACAAACCCATGAACTACCATCCTGAGGTAATAACTTCCAGTCAGTTTCAACAGTATTCAGGATTAAACTGTTGACCTAGAGGTGAAAAGATCCTCTGAATCATCCAAGGCACCTTAACATCTAAATTCTTAACAGTCATCTGAGGCAATCGAAGACATTATTGTCAATATTTTGAAATATGAACAATACACTCGCTGGTTTCATGGGTTTTCATCTGTAATCGGTTGGGTTTTTTGTTTTTGTTTTTGTTTGTTTTGGTTTTTTTTGTTTTGTTTTTAATTTTCATCCTTTTTGAAATAGCAACCATCTATGGAAGTCTCAAACATTTGGGTACTATAAAATGTATGTGATTAAATCATTACAATGGAGGTTTAAAAATAGGAATACAGCCGCTCCCTGAGTTACGTCCACCTCCACTTACAACTATCTGCCCTTATGACCAAAGCAGTCGTAAATGTGGATCCAAGTTATGAACGGCGATCCGCGCTTATGAATAGCGCGGTCGCCATGTAACTCTATGGGATCTGAGTTACAAACACTTTGAGTTACGGACCAAAAGTTATGGTCCGTAATTTGTTCATAACTCAGGGAGCAGCTGTAACAGATTCATTAGTCTCTCTCCACAACCAACACATTATTCTTCTGATTAAAAAGAATTGATAACATAGATGAAAACTTTTCACTCCTTAAATTTTCGAGCAAGGGGTTAGTTATGTGTGACTTCTTTTGAAGTCACCTGAGCCCACAGGACCAAAATTCCTTGGAGTTTATGGAAAATAAAAGGTTTGGGTCCACTTCTGTCTCAGATGAATAAAAATGCTGATAAGTGGGTTGTGTGAAGGCACAGTACCGTATTTCATACGATGTAAAACTCCATGTTCCATATCATATTACATGCTTATATACCCGACTGTGCTAGAAAAGATGAAATATAATGAAATACAAAGTATTGCCCCAAAAAAGCATTAGCTATTGTATAGGCTATGTTCATCACACAGGTGGAAATTGCTTTCATTTTGAAATTCTGTGCTGTTTTTCACATTTCTGATTTTTAGTTTAACCCACTACATTTTATGCAGGTCTGTTGAGGGTTTACTCTCTAACCTAGTTGCAATATAAAAGTGTTTCTTATCATTCATTCATCCTGAAGATTTTTTCCATTGTCTGCTTACATTCAGTGAAATCAAATACAGACTCACTAGAATTGGAGGAGGGCAAAGGTGACTTTTATGGACATTTCACAAAGGCAGAGTCACTTCTAGACTTTAAACAAAGTGATGGTCTCCATTTACATTTGTCGAGAATGAAAAAGAAAATGCAATATATGAGCCTTGTTGTTATCAAGAGGGAGGGCTTGAAGAAAATGAACCTGGAGATACAACATATCACTCAAAGATCTGCACTCTAGAGTACACCACAACAGTGACTGCTATTTCTAATAATTGCACTTGATAGGGCTACACAATTAAAATTGCAAAATTGGTTAGTATTCTTCAATGAAAATGCCATAATCACATTGAGATTACATTGAGATTTCTAATGTTCTGAAAGCATTGTGTGTGCTGAAAAGTATAGAAATACAGAGATACATATACATATGTAAACATAATTAGTTCTCTTCAGGTGTTAATCAGACATGTATTAGTATTGTCCTATGTAAGGTTATGCAAGATTTCCTTGGAGAATGCTGTTCTCAGGATCTTTAATATAAATGTTGGGCAATCAAAATGCTGGCTGTAAGACAAGGTTGTCAAACTATTGCAGATGCCTCATAATTTAGGTTGATTTTCACCTATGAAATGCCTGTAGGCAGAACAGAGTTATCTGAATGCCAATTAAGTCTATAAATTGGATGGCTGGAGAGATAAATAAGGAACCACAGAGAACCCAGCTCACAAGTTTTGTCACATCATTTTAATGGTAAAAGTATCTCACTGACCTAAACCCAGGCTCCCCCATCCCTTGTAGAAATTATAATTTTAGAAATGCTACTGCTCTTATCTTCAAGTCAGGTTCACATATTTTTAATAGGCCACAGCTTCCCTTACTAATGTTTTCATCAGACGGTGTAAAATAAATCCATTAGTCACAGTGTCCTTCATGTGATAATGATGTTTAGAGCTCATTAAAAAGTAATTGTAACCACTTTTCCCTACTTTATCAGCAGGATTCAGCTGGTGATTTGATGATCAGAAGCATCCAGCTGAAGCATGCTGGGAAATACGTCTGCATGGTGCAAACAACTGTGGACAAGCTATCAGCTACTGCAGACCTGATTGTAAGAGGTATTTGAATTTTGTTGTTGTTGGCAAACTACTTTTCGCACTATCTGCTGTTCTTAGTAGTACAATGCATGGTCTCACAGAAATTCATTCAAATCCTTACACGTTATCATTATTGTAAGAAATAAGCTCCAACAGTACAGTTTCTAAACACTGCACACAAAAATCCTACCGTGTGTGTGTATATATCATCACAAAACTTTCATAACCTGCAGAAACAGGATTTTGTATTGAATTATTTTTGCGTGTGAAATACTCTCATGTTGATTCACTCATTTGGTCGTTGTCAGTCATTCACTGCTTCTCCAGATTAATCGTGATTTAGTAAAGCCACCAGCATGGTGAATTTTGAGATCAAATCCTTAATGTTCTTATATAATAGGTCAATGTGGCCTTTAATTTGAATGTATTGAATCTCCATTCTGGGTCACTAGTAGGAATATAGCCTGGATTCATTGTGCAGTTGCTCTGTGGGAAGAAAAAAATTGGTAGGATAGACCAAGCCAGTCCCTAACATGCCCATTCTACTCAGCAAGGTGCTGAGCAATTCTCAGTTCCTACCAACGTCCGCCAAACCTCAATACCTCATGGGAGTGGACTCTGTCCCAAAACCCAGACCTGCAACCTGCACTAGTTGCCTTTGTTAGGTGGCCTCAGCAAAACAGTTATGACTGGGATGGCAATTGAGATCAAATCGGACTTACACCCCACTGGGTCAAGGTAAGGCACAAACATTTTGGGCAGTGTGAGAAGCATTCTGATCTGCCAATGGAAGGCTTTACTTTTTTTTTGCTATCTCACAGTGTATTCCACAAACTTTCATTTCCCTCCAAAAGGAAAAAGAGAGAACTGTGTAGGTATGGCTAAACCCTGCAACCCTCGCCTATTGGCAATGTCAATTTTGTCAGATTAGAACATACAAGATTAGGCCATAAACTCACCATCGTAAATGTACCCCTGAGATCAACATTCTATTTTACGCGTTTAAATATATTTACTGCTTTAGGATGTGAATGCTGAAGTTCTTAACCACAGGCAAGCTGTCAGAGTCTAGCGGAGTAGAAATTATTATTTTCCATTTAAGAAAACAACCATGGTTTGTCAGTCCTTCCCTTGTGGCATAGAAGATATAGTTGCTGTTCTGATTGTATACTCCATTTAATGAGGATGATGCTCAGATTAGCACTTAAATGCCAATAAATTAAACTAACTATTTAAATTAGTAGTCCATGAAGTTGTTAAATGATATTGTATACTTCATTTTACAGGAAGGAATTTGTCAACACCATCCTTAGGCAAAAACATATTCTAAAGAGCCCAGCGAAAGCAAATAACACTTAAGGTCTTTTGTTCCTAAACTCTGAATGTCTCTTTATTGAATTAGCAAAATAGTTGAGAAAAGCTACACCTAGAGGAAGAATGACTGTAACATTCATGTTTTCTCATGAATCTACTAACACATGCTGTTGACAGCTGTTGATAAAATAGTATGTGCCAGATCAAGTCATTGTCTGTGAGAGCATGTGTGAAGCAAAAACACATTCATTGCTATGCCTGACATCCCCTATCTAATAAGGAAAGTTGCTACCCTGTATCCCCAGGGAGCTCAGTACTCCAGTTACACTGCTGTTTTATAGTTTTTGTCCTTATTGTTTCAAATAAACATTTCTGCATAACCATTTCAAAACAGTACACTGATAAGAATATTAGTTAGGTAACTTCCTATAAGCCAGCCCTGTAAGCAGCCAACAAGAACATGATTCTCACAACAAAATGACCACAATGATAGCAGAGTGTGACCTTGCCACCACAGAAAACACCCGTCTGAAACTTTTCCAGCAAGATTTTGGTCCCACGATGACTACACGTACTCTTGTTGATTCTGCCTCCTCAGTTGAAAAGTAGTGATATTTTTGTGACTCTTTGTACCAGCCTTACAAAAATAAAGAAATGTAAGTGGAGGGGAAGAAAGGGCCAAGGAAAAAATTGGAACTTTTAGTATCAGGTTGGGTGAGGAACCAGAAAGTGGGTAATTGATTGATAAGGATTTATATATGCCAGAAGGGCAGATAAATATATTGTCTAAACATTAGGGTATGTGGCTGGGAGCCACACCTCCCAAGCTTCACTTTTGGCTCTGCCACTGACCCTTATGAATAGTCACTTATGTTCTCTGTACCATACCCATTATTAGGCTGAATAATACCTATTGCACCACTGCGAGGCATATTGAGAGAGATCCTTACTAGCAGAGCTGGGCAAAGTTTCTCAGTCTAACCGTGTATTTGACCAAAAACATGCAGTTTCAGCCTGACCTGTAACCATTCGTAAATGGACATAAATTATTTTGAAACAGAGAAGGAGGAAAAGGTATCAATGTTGTTTCCCACCTGACAACCAGGGATTAGGGCACAGACCTGGAATGTGGGTTCAAATCCCTCATATTCAATTGACTTTTTTTTAATTCACCAAAGTTTCTGTGATTCAATTCCATCCAAACTCAATTTTTTTTCTTGAACTGCCGCTGAATTGGTTAATCAGTTATTTGCCCAGCTCTACTTACTAAAGGTTGATGTGGAGTCATACCAACACAGAGGGAGCTGTTTGTGATGATTGGGCTATGGGTGGTCAGACAAACTGGTCACAATCAGGAGTCAAGCCAAGGGTCAAAGCCAGAGTAAGTCATGGATAGAACCAAACATCAGGGAGTTATGAACCGGGAGAAGAGGAAGATTTCAGATGAAGAGGAATTAGGCAGGGCTCGGATGGTATGAGTTTAGGAAGGATCCAAAGAGGCAGCTCACCGGGGATAGACCTAGTCATTCAGATAATTTCCTGGGCTTCCTGCTGGCTTAAGAAGTACATACAAGACACTCTGTGGTGTCAGACATCTCTCCCAGTCGGGAGATTTTTGTGGGCAGAGCCCTGAGTGAGCTAGAACTCTACTAGTCCTCTTCTCGAGTGATTCCAGTGAGCTGCCAGAACCGCAGTCTGGATACTACTTGGAACCTGTAGGACCATGTTCAAGAACTGCACGTCCTAAGGCTATTAAAAATCAATATGTCTTCCAGAAAAGGAAAGCCATCCTTTAGAACAGGTGTGGCCAGCCTGAGAAGGAGCCACTGTTTACCAATGTACATTGCCTAAGAGCTATAGTAATTTGTGAGCAATCCCCATCAGGTGCCTCCTCTCCCATCTCCAGCATCTTTTGCCCACCAACAGCCCCACCAATCAGTGCCTCCTCTTCCTTCCCTGCACCTCCTGCCCACTGCAATCAGCTGTTTCGTGGCACTCAGGAGGCTCTGTGGGGGAAGAGAAGGAGCGGGGTGCAATACGCTTGGAGGAGGTGGAGCCAGGAGTTGAGCACTGGAAAGTTGGCACCTGAAGTACCTGGAGCTGCAGCCTGGAGTCAGTGCCTGAGCAAGGAGCCACATATTAACTTCAGAAGAGCCACAGGTGGCTCCAGAGCCACAGGTTGGCCACCCCTGCATTAGAAGATTGCAATCTATACTTATGTAACAGAGGAGCAAAGGGAGAGTCATAGCTGTGCTACATTCTGCCCGTCTGTACTCATCCTGGAGAGGTTACCTCCAAAAAGACAGTAATCCCTGCATGGGCAACAATACTGGCTCTTTCAAGACCTCCTTCAATGGTCTTGAAGCACAGATGGTCTGTGCTTTGTCTAGATGAATTTCCTTCTCATTAGAATGATACTCTATTCATATTTTGCCCTTGCATAATATGCAGAATGATACTTTCCACACAGAGAACTCCCTGCACCACCCAAAACTAAAGAATAAAATACAAAATCCCATAACAAACAAATAAATAAAAAAACCATAGTTTGAGCCCAGAAAAGAGATGAGTCAGATACTCTATGAAATCTACTAAGGACTTCATTGTAGATACCAATTTTCAAGTAAGACACTCAGGGCACCTTTTTTTTTCGAAAGAGGATCTTTCGAAAGTGAAAGTAGTCTGGATGTGGTTTTGTCAGGGAAAAAAAATCCTTTTTTGAAAAAACCACGAAAACCTCCTTTTTTAAGGAAGAGCATTTTTTGCGGAAATTGCATATCCTCTTTTGAAAATTCTACATAGTCTAGACATAGCCTCAGATTCTATGGTTAGGGGTGAGAGAATAGAAACAAAGGATAGATTTTTGTTCTGTTCTTCCCATCTCCCCACCTTACAGGGGCGTACAAAGATTGTTCCTGTGAAGAAAGCCACTAAGGTACTGTGGAGATAAGCCTGGGGAAAGGGAATACATCCCACAAATGTGTATTAATAAATGCAAAGAAAGCAAGCTTTAATAAGTATATAGTATAGCCTTTCAAATTAGGTTAAATTAATTATATGGGTTAGATAAGATGTGTTATTCATACCTAGAATTCAAATAAATTCAAATAAATTATGTTAGAGGGTACAAAACAAGAAAAAATGATAAGCTAATACTTAACAAGCATATCTGTACCGTTATATAAATAACAAATAAGCCACTCATTACAGGCTTAGAGTTCAACTCATTCTGATTCTCAAGTAAAGATAGTGTCTCTTGTCTGTTCATGCCGGCAGCTAGGGCAGGCTCACATTGCTGTAGAGATAGTAGATTGGTATCTTAATTTCATTTTTTTCTTCCCTCCCTTTTACAGCTATGTCTGTAGTTTTCAGTAGATTTAATTAGTATAACGTTGAAGAGCTTCTAGGGCGTTTTCAGACCATCTTGTCAAAGGAGAATTATATTCTCTCAGAGTTTTGAAAGTAAAATGTGTCACAGTCCTTGCTTCAAAGTTTGTTATTGGAGAGGGGTTGTTGCCTAATTTGTAAGACAATTGACTGGGCTGGCTATGAAAGAAGGAACTCTTACAGCAGATAATCTAAAATGATATTATATTGGCTATTTGAATAAGGCACTAGGAGAGCTACCTAATTACATCTAATTAATTTAGATTTAAAAGCTGGAAAATCTTGTAAGTAAATTTCTGCTAAATTTTGAAAAAAAATTGTTTTTGTCTTTGGCAGCTGGCAACAATTTGGAGAAAGAGGGGGAAGAGTATTATAAAACCTTGTGTGTTGTTTTTATTTTAGATTTTTGAAATTTAATTGAAGTTTAAAATTTTTGAAGCAACTCTAGTAAAGCATTTTCTTAACCAGATTTTAAATACCGTATTTTCTGGTGTATAAGGCGACTGGGCGTATAAGACGACCCCCTAATTTTCTAGTTAAAACATAGGTTTTCGCCTATACTCGCCGTATAAGACTACCACCCCTTAAGAGGCCAACCGGCAGCGCCCCAGCTGCTCTGCCCCAGGATCCACAACAAAAGCCTGGTCTGCTGCGGGGAGGCGCACTAGCTGCGCCCCCCCCAGCAGACCAGGGACACAGGGAGCAAAGCCGCAGCGGCAGCGGGGTGCCGCGCCTCTGAGGCTTTGCTCTGGCAAAGCCTCCCATGGTGGCTACTGCGGGAATAACACTCCTTTCAGAGCCCCCGG